AAAAAATAAACAATCCGGTGATCGTAGTCCATCACCAATGATCGATGAAAACAATTTAAAACGACAACGACGAAGACGACAACAACGGCGACGCTCGCATTCATTAAGTTCAACTGGTAGTGCACAATGGTCACGATCATCATCGTTATCGAATAATGATGATCGAATATCAAGAGTAAGAACAAAAAGAAAACTTTAATAATAATAGATTCAAATTATTTAATTGTATTCCTTGGTTTTTTTTTCTAGCATTCATCACGTGAAGTGACACCATCAATGGAAAATAATCATGATGACAAGCATGAAACAATTGAAAATGATATAACTGATATGAACGATTTATCCAAATTACTTGATTTAAATGAAGAAGATGAATTATTATTGCTACAAATTGAAGTTGAACAAGAAGAACGTAACATACGTCGGGAAGAAAAACGTCGACGTAAAGAAGAAAAACAGAATAAAAAATCAAATAAAAAAATTAAATTATTATCAAATATAGATGAACAAAAAATTATTCAACAATGTCTTAATGATCTAATTGAAAATGTTTGTCGTCAAGAAGAAAATACATTGAATTTAAAACGAACGTTTGATTATTCAGATGATGAATTATCAAAAAAGATTAAACTAGATGAAAAAAGTTAAAAGTATTATGATTAGTTGTCTTTTCTTTTCTTTCTTTTTTTGTGTTGATCTCTGTCGTTGTATTTGTATATATATATCTAAACGTGTTTTGTTTTCATACCTCAAAAAAAAAGATTCGAACCAATTCAATGAATTATATATATGTCTAGCATGTGACTTGTATTTTCATAATAGACAATGAATTCATAAATGAAAAGTAACTTTATCTTATGAATAGTTTTTGAATCATGATAAGTGCCTTTGCATGTCAAGTTTTATGTAAATGGAATTGACATGTTTTTGTCAATGTTCTATTTTTTGCAAGGTTTATACTTCGGCAAATTTTAGTTCCGGTTTTTGTCTCAAGAGATTTAGCTTGACTGATAATGTGCATAAAAACAAAGTCAGAATAACAAAACTTGTCAATAAGTAAATATCACAATAGATAAACTAAAAATGAATAAACTTGCAATTTTTTTTCGAACACAAAAATATTCTTACATGACAATATTAATATTTAATGTATATATGAATTTGATGTATGTGAAATTTGTTGAAATCTATGTGAAAGATATATGGATAGGTAAATGTCAAATGAAGAGAGTTTTTTCCGATCGAATATTGTCAGTTTTTGTAATTATTCTATGAACGTATATTAGAAGACTAGATTATTTTAATATAGTGATATGATATTGAAAGTTGGTATGATATAATCTTTTTCTTTGACTGAAATGCTGTTTTTTAAATAAGCATTATCTTGAGAGTTGCTAATTTGATTTCTGTACTCTAATAGATTGAACTACTTGTTTCCTTCATTGTTTCTAAACGAAATTATTTAGCAACAAATACCTAATTTTTCTTTATTGCTTATCAAATGTTGCAATCAAATAGGTTGGAGTAATTTATGTTTCGATTCAACTGAATGCATATAGTAATTCGTACGAATTTTAAAAAGAATATTTCATTATTAAAACAATGCTCAAGCGTGTAACAATGTTGTTATTGAGGATTGATTCCTATACCATGATATATAAGGGATGATATTATGTACAGACAGGTAGATGGAGTGAGAATGGTTTAAAAACATAGTAAATAAGATGAAAGAAAAAAAGATTGTGTCACAAAAATTCAACTTTATTACAGGTTTACTTATACAACGTCTTCGTAGTCAAATATAAGAAGCCACCAAGGATAATTCTATTTTCATCATTCACAAAAAGAAAATAGGAGTTTTTAATAATAGATGAGTCTATGACTTTTGTAGAAATAGAACTATTGAATGATTTCTATTATTGTTTTTCTTCAAAATATTCATTTATCGAAAAACTTTTCTAATAGAAGTATAAAGCTTTTTCTATTACACATAAATTTTTAATATAAGTATCTATTTGAATTGTCTTTATAATTCATAGAGAAAAATAGAATTTCATTTGTATAAAGATTTCATTAATTCTTGTTGTCTATAAATTTGTTCTCAGTTCAAGTCAAAAAAAAGACCAATGCTGTGTCATAACATCTATTACTTATCTAAACAATAAAACGATCGGAACACATCAGAACATATTTTGATCTTTTTTGATTCTCAAAATCCTATCTAATTGAGTCATATATAAAATGAAAGATCATGAGCCATCGTTTTGATTCGATCATCATTGCGAATAGAGTCCATCTTCACGATATACTAAGTGGTCAGTTAGTTATTGATGCTAATCAGTAACGTGAGCATTCCTTTGATAGAAAACAAATAAAGGTGAAGATTAATCCACAACTTCTGATAGCCTTTTGTGTTCAGGTTATATTTTCATAAAAGAGTCATTCATTTAAATAATCTATTGAATCTACTGAAGCATATGTAAATTTTTCATTGCTGACATTTTCAGTATGAAATACCCATGTGAATTTCATTTGTTGTTAAATTATTGTGTTAATGAAACTTCCTTCATACTTAGTTCATTTTGTAATCGATAGAGCTTTTCAAGCGTTACAAAACAAATCACTTTATATGATCTAAAAAAAAGCTGGGTCATATAACAAAATCCCAAGTCATGTATTCATTAGGTCCAATATCTAACTTTGTCAACTAATATTTGACGGTTAACAAATAGGGTAATTCTCATGTCACTTCAAATAAAGCTTATCTCTGGCACTAGCATAAAAAAGTGAATGTATTTATTCATGCTTCAAACTTGTTCTGTAACTTGTTTTTCTGATCAAATTTTCACCCCTAAACCCCTCCAGGGATATGTCACAAAATGAATTTAATCATCATAACTATTTTATTGTTTGATCATCTGTCCTTATGTCTTTAGATAGCATTTTACAAATTTAGAACTTGTTTTCTACTGTCATGATGACTTTTTGATTAAATTCATTTTTTCATAAATCCCTGGAGAGATCCAGGAATGAAAATTTAATCAGAAAAACAAGTCACAGAACAAGTTTAAAACATGCATACGTACACTCGCTTTTTTATGCTAGTTCCAAGGATAAACTTTGTTTGAAGTGACATGGGCATTATTCTACTTGTTAAATGTCAAATATTAGTCGAGAAATTTTGATCTTGGGCCTCATGGATAATTGACTTGGGATTTTGTTATGTGACCCACTATTTTTTAGACTGTATGAATTAGTTCGTTTTGTAACGCTTGAAAAGTTTATTGATTACGAAATGAACTAAGTATGGAGGAAGTTTAATTAGCACCATAATTAAACGACAAATGAAATTCACATGGGTATCTCCATACTCAAATTGTCAGTAATGAAAAATGTATATACGCTCCAGTAGATTCAATAGATTGTTTAAATGAATGATTCTTTTATGAAAATATAACCTTAACAACAGATCTTCAGAATAAATTTGAATCACTCTTCACCTTTATTCATTTTCTATAAGTACGAATGCTCACATTACTGACTAGTATCAACAGCTAACTGGCCATTTAGTATATCATGAAGATAGACTCTTTTCACAGCTATGATCGAATGAAAATTATAAGAAACACATGACCTTTCATTCAAGATATGACTCAGTTATCTGTTTTACTGTATAGTGCCTGGTAAATTCATGTTTATATATTTAACACCATTAGTGATGCACATGATTGTCAATTTATGGTAGTTAACAAAAACAACAAGTGTCCATACTCAAGAGAATCATTTAACCATGATAAATAATTACATGATAAAAAGAAAAAAAAATAGTATTCATAATTGCAAGCACGTCAGCTTGATTGTCATATACCCAAAAGACAAAGAAAATCATTTATCTTACAATGTCATTGTTCATTAATTTCATTTGATGATTCAAAAACGAAATTTATGTTTTCTCTAATGCATTAATATATTTAAGAAAAATTATATTATTGAAATTAGAGATCATATTCAAAAACAAAGTTTTTTTCTGTATAAGTCTGATTTAAGTCAAAAATTATTGATATACTTCATATAGTTATTTTCATATGAGGCAGAGCAAGAAAAGTTTTTTTTCTTTTTTTACACAATTCCTATAGAAAAAAAAAAGAAAACAAGAGAGAAACTGAAGTTCTAAAAAACAAAGGAAAGAAAAAGAAGAATATAAAAAGTCAGTTGATCTGTTCATTTAACACTCACTGTGTCTTTGTTTTTTAATAGCTATAGGTTCCCTCAAAATATAAAAGTGTTGACAATAATTGAGCATATATTTGTAGTCATATAATTTGTTACAAAGTCTTGTTTCATCTATTTTTTCTTGTCTTTTAAACGGATAGTACCTTTTTTTCCTGATTTCCTTGTCATTCATCTAATCGATTAAAAAGAAAACCATCATTCATCATGAGCATTATTATATTCGATTTCATCTCACTGACAATCTCTAACGTTTGGTATTGGTCTTCTTTTTTTTTGTTCTATTCTATTGTAAACTAATGAGATAGAGAAAAGAAAATTGAACATGAAAAAACAGATACACAATGACTCTCTACGAATCCTCATGAGATATAAGGTTTGCGTGTATCTATCTATCTATATATATGTGTGCGCGTATTTTAGATTTGAACTTCATTCTCAACCACGCCATTTTTACGACGTTCATCAGTCACTTTCGTTTCTTTCTCTAATATTCTCTCTAATTCAGTCATAATGGTTTCCAGTTCAATAATTTACACGGTTTTCTTCACGATAGGTAAGTTTTAAAAATAGATTCTATGTTAAAAAGTATAATTAAACAGTAATATATCGATCGAAAATGATCAATGATCGTGTTGCTTAGGCATATCAACTAAGAATAAATATCTTCTAAACGTTCCCTTTTTCTTTTAATATTTCATAAGAACAAAAAACATCTAAAAAACAGTTTCATTCATTTTTCTCTAGGTCTTCTTCTTTGGATTGATTCAATGGATGCTACAAAGGTACAAAACAAAGATGATAATAATGATTCCACATCAATGAAAACATTGGATGATGAACAAGATGATGCAATGTCATTATTCGAGACACGAGGTACAGAACACAATAATGATATTCATGATGCATATCCGGGTTTCATCTTGGGCAAAAACCGATTTGGATCACGGGGTATTCGTCTTCCTGCTGAATCGATTCTTCTTGGTAAACGTCGTCTACCTGTTGAATCGATTCTTCTTGGTAAACGTCGTTTACCTGTTGAATCTATTCTTCTCGGCAAACGCCGTTTACCTGTCGAAGCTGTCCTCTTAGGTCGACGTAGCTTACCAGATGAAGATGCTGTTCATAACAAACAACGATAAATAATGAACAAGTTATATTGACATTCTAGTTAAAACACATATCGATAGCACATATTTACATTATCATATAGAGTGCTATTATATTTATTTTAAAAAAAGAGAGAAATTCGAAAAATAAATAATATGGACAAAGAAAAATTTTATATTTAAAATTTTATATATTGTCTATAAAGCGAAAAAGGCAAGCATATAATCAAAACAAAATAGACGACATCATTTTCTAGCTGATTACAAAAATCATATATTTATTGGTTTTTATTGCACAATATTAATGTAATTAGAGCATACACTTTGACATTTATATTCTATAATTAAAAGATAAAATGAAAATTTCTATTATCATATAGGTCTATCGGGAGACCAAACAAAATTAATCCATTCATAAGATAATATAAAACTGTCTAACATCGATTTCAGATATCATCGATGTGAAACTCTTTATAATAGTAGAATATTTTTAAATTCACATAACAAGAAGTCAACTTGTATGACAAATCACTGNAAAATTGAACCTTTTAACCCAGCTAGAATTTGTATTCACATAATAGATAAGAGGTCAATATTTATAAATGGCAGGATATAAAGAATAAAAATAATTATTTTTTTCCCCAATAGATCATTAAATATTCAATTAACAAGACTAAAGAACATAAACAAATCACTATTATAAATTTTGTATGCATCTGATCTAGTGACCAAACTATGTCCTCTTTTCTTTATAATTCTCATTTATTCTCAACAATACGTTGCTTGAAATCGAATTATTGCAATAGAACTCGATAGAAACAGTAGAACAATGGTATGTGTCCGTCGATCTATATTTCATACCTATACTAAAACGGAAACATTGAGAAAGTATCAAGCGGAAAATTAGAAATGTTATCCACGTATATTACAAGTTTTAGACTATCGAGAAAAATAACATCTATTAAATTGATTATCAATATTATTTTTTTGTCTATAGTAACATGAAAACATCATTCTAAGATTTAGTGAGATAATTACGTTAGTTTTTTTGTTCGATTTGTGTTGTTTTTAATAACTATCAAATCAGATACATTTGGATTTTTCATTCAATATATAAAAAATAATAAATAGTAAAGACAGTAATCTGCCGATTTGGATTTTTCTGATATCAGATATACGAAGCAGAATGACTATAAAATCCGTTGCTCAGTGATTTGTCATACAAGTTGACTTCTTGTTATGTGAATTTAAAAATATTCTACTATTATAAAGAGTTTCACATCGATGATATCTGAAATCGATGTTAGACAGTTTTAATCTGAACTGTAAGAAAAAAAAGTCTTATTCAAAATAGTGACAACATCGGTTTCAGTAAACACAACTATACAACAAGATAACAAGTGAAACTATTATACTGCTTTTGAAAATTCTTTGATTGCCTCTGGGATCCACTTTCATCTGTACGGATATTCAGATAGTATGATCAAGTGAAATCTATTACTCAGCAGATTCAATATGATGAAATTTTTCTCTCTGATGATTTATATCTATTATATATTTTTTGGAAACAAAGTCCCTTTGTTTGTGAATAAATCACAAAGATTAATAGCTGTATAGGTAGTTTACTTTACTGCATGAACTATATCGTGCACTCTAAAAACAAAAATAAACATAGCGATAGAAATTCATCATTTTTTAGCAAATTTTTTTCAATATATTTGTGTCCAGGGTTTAAGAATACATTCATCACGAAGAGATTAACATTTTTTACAGAAAAAAAGCTCTGGATGTTTCTACCTGAGCTTTAGAGTTGCAAATAGAATTATGTTTATTTGATTGAAAAGTATTATAAGTTCAATTTATAGATTATGTATAAAATTAATGTAAATGATGATATTTTTCAATGGTGAGAAACCGCACTGAAATAGAAAAAAAGTTTAATTTTGGTGAAAGATAAAAATCGGCGATTATATACTTTTTATTAAAGAAGAGATTTAGTTCGATTCGAACTATGCGTTAACATTGAAACTATTTCAAGCATAAAAAGAAAAGTATCTAGACGAATAATGAATATCAATTTTGTAAAGAATTTATTTAGTATTGATAAAAAATTATCAGAGAGATAGGAAACAGTGGGTTCTTGCAGACCCAGGCACGGATCGATAAAAACGTGGACTCGTAACTGCCTATAGTTAAGTATCAGTCAACATGAAAAGTTTTTATTCATGATCTTTAAAACCAACGTGATTAATTGTTGTAAATGATCGACATTCAAGCGCAGTCAATTCAACACAAGCAATTTTAAGTTCCTGCTTAATTCATGTCTGGAATAATTAATTGATACTTATTTGAACATTGAAAGCTGTCGTGATTCTTTTTCATTGTGACAACTATAAATATTCTTAGACAGTAAATTAGTACTAGAAGATGGTTTTACAAACAAGTAAATCTTCACATTGGTTATATACACTATATTCTTGTTTGATCTCATTTACATCAATACAATATGCAACTATTCCATACAGCTGAAGATTTTGGTTTTATTATTGGTTAGATGATTTTTAAAGAAAAGTTTTATATATTAATTACTTGTTCAATCTCCTTTTTGTTAACATTATGATCTTTTCAATTAATCGAAGACTTTTATTTTATTAAATATCGAGTGATCGGAAAATTATCAACAAGAAATAACTGTATGTTGCCTTTTTTCTGACAGTAGTCAATAAAAAGCTGAAACAAAAAATCGGATCCGAGGTCTACAAAAGCGTAGACCTGTAGTTCCCTAAAGAGAAAACTTCAGCTAACATCGATCACTACATAGAAAGAAAATTTAGTCAAAACGAACAATCAGTATGAATATTAAATGCATAACAATAATAAATATATTTATATGTATATGAATGAAGAGCATAGTCATTGTATTGCTGTATTCTAAGAAGAAAAATGACGAGAAGTCGAGTTCTATTCAACTGATTTTGATAAATTTTTTTATTTTGCTGGCCTAAAGATGATCATTGATTTATGAAAAAATGAAATTTCCATCGGCGTCAGTTTTTGAGAAATCATAAACGACAGCTTAAGTAGATAGCTTGTGATGTCACCTGTTGGAACTCAATCAAGATCTTTTTTTTATTTCATTGCAATTTTTGTAAAAATGATTTTGTCAACTAGAGTTGTAGAACTTTTTTGAGAGCTTTCAGATAATGTCTTTGATTACAAGTTTAGAATAAGTTTTATGAACGAAAAACTATGGATAATAGGCGTTACGACACTTGTCATTTTAGTGTAGATCGACATTAAAATCAGTGATATTCTAATTGAAGAAACTTCGTTTGGATTAACTGAATTGAATACCCATGAGAAATAGAGGGAAAATAATTTGAGAAGTAAAGGAAGTTTGTTTCATAAACTTTCTTAAAACAACAATTTCAAGCAAAATTAAAATTATGTTCATGCTGCATGTAGAACGACTTTTAAAATTTTGTTACTGCTATAACTCAATGAAAACTGAATCGTTTGCCAAAAAGATTTTACCATTTTTCCAATTCATATAGTAGAGTAACCAAGCAAAAATCTATCTTCGGTCGAGAGATAATTTTGTATTATTAACGAAGTACAGAGCGACATTTTTTGAAATATTCACAACCTAAGACTGACTGATATATGAAAACAGCATACAGAAATCGGCTGTGACACAGGAAAATGTTCGAAAAAAAAAATTATTTTTACACACAATCGACATCGCTCTGTTAAATGCAACACTTCGTTATCTCTTATTATTAAATTTATTTTGATCAGTTTTTTTATTAGAAAGGTACAATAATTGTGCTCTTCGCTCGTATATATATATATATCAGGTCTAATAGAAATATTCAATCAGAGGAAAAGACAGTGAGACATCGTATACGATTTAAGTTGATATGATCAAGGTTATCTGGATAGTATAAACATTATTTCCTCTTCTTGATTTATGTTTCATTAATGGTTTCATCATATCATCTGTGATAATACATATGGGGTTAACATAGTAACAATATTATGACGAATACAATATGCGATTCCAATAAGATCTTTTGTCTTTTTCATTGTTGAATAATCCTATGTATAGTTCATGAGATTTAAAGAAAACATTTGTTTTACTCTATAATTCATGAAAAATTATTAGTCTTTAGAAAGTGTTTCGTTTTCAATTTATTATAGCTATATGAAGCACTCATAATTCAATCAAGCTGAGATAGAGTATTATTTTTCGTTATATCCGATTAGATTGATATATCTAATCGCTATTTATTCGAAAGATTGACTATTCATAGTAGTTAATCATTTTTGTACTGAACTTTCAGGTACTCATATTTTTTATTTGCGAGAAAGTTTCTTTTTTTTCTTCTTATGACTAATTGTTACTCCAATGTTATAATAAATATTGATTTTAAAATACATCGGTATCGATGAAATCGAATAACAAAAAACAAATATAAATAGAAAATCTGTAAAAAAAAATATTTATATTCTATAGTTTCTCTATTAGTAAATACGATGGCGCCAGTCATCGTTTCTTTCTTACGTATTAGAGATGGCACTATTGCAATAAAGAAAGAAAAAAAAACATACTGCCTCTTTCGGTGTTCACAGTAACCAGATGAATAATGGCCATCATAGAAGAATCTGTTACATTTTCCATTCAAGTACACAAATCAAACACTTTTGTTTCTTTATCATGTTTTTTCTATGTTGTTCTATTATTATTTTAGGCTATTTGTTCTAATAAAATATAAAAATTAATTTGTTTATTGAAATTTTTTTCTTTTTTTAGATTAATAGATTTTTTTTTGTTTTTCTACAAATCTTCTATGTATTTATGTGTACATTTTAACAAGAATAAAGTTAACAATGAAACAGTGATTATTTTTTCTATGAAAATACATTAATAATAATTGATTGTATATCGAGCAAGTCCATTCGGATAAAGAGAAGAAGGTATGTAAATTTTTTTGTTTTTGCCTTGTGGATTAAATCTCTTTATAGTCACTTAACGTTCATTTGAAGAGGGTTAGTTCTTATCGATCAAATGTTAGTATAGACACAATATTCTTATTATCATTTGAATAGGTCTCAATTTTTGCTGATAAAACTTATATCTTATGCTTAAAACATCTGATTTTTCACTTGACATTTTTGAGACTGACTCGTAAAATTATTCGTTTATACGTTTGGCTTCTGGCATGTGTGTGTGTGCGTGCATATATACTATTCACATATAAAAGAGAAAAGAATCTGAGATTTCTTTTTTTCTATATAAAACAATAGATGCTCTTGAGTGTAAAATAAGTTAGCATACTTCCGTTGTCGTTATTGTTTTGTCTCAAGAGAGATACATATTGACCTTGTCAATGTTCGATGGTAATCAGATATCATTGACAGATAAATGTATGTAAGTATTGCTCATCCGAAAGAGAACTAAGTGCCATAAGTAGGGAAATTGTTATCATTCATTTCTTTGTATACTGTTGGCTCAATGTTATAGCTAGTACTCTCAGATGATAGTACACTAATCTTATGTTATTGTTTCTTTCTTTTTTCTTTTTCTTTTCCCTTGTTCTCTTGTCGTTCGAAGTCATTGTCGATTGCGAGCCGAACGAACAAGCGAGCCAATACATGCGTTTATTGAATTGGCACGTTGAAATTGTTGAACGAACGATGAACGATGTTGTCCCTCATTCTCATCAACGTTATTGAGTTGCGTCAGCGCTTATACTGATGGTGGTGACGTTCTTTTTTTTGTTTAGTTACTGAAGGATAATCGAGATCAGCGATTAAGACATACTCTTAAGCTATATATTCATTTGTGTTTATCTTCGACATTGAGAAAAAGAGAAGGAGGGTAGGTAACCCATGTCTTGTTCTCTATTTATGATAAATTAATATGATTTTCATCACACACATGTGCTTGTTTGAAAGACTAGAGGAACAAGAGTAGCGTCATGTAATCGGATCTTCTCGGAGTACTGCATACAAATATACGGACTATACGACTCTTTTTTTTTTCTGTTGCCTTCTTTTCTTCGCTTTCGTATGTGTTTGTATGTGTATGTGGCATAGACCTTCAACAAAGAGCGAAACGAAACTAAAAGAAAGATCTTTGTTCATAAAAAACAGAATTCTTCGGGTATGATGAATTTTGTTTCTGAAAGATATTAGTAGTCAAGAATAAATAAGTCTTCAATGTAAGTTTTTTGAGAAGAATAAGAAAGAGATTTCCGTTTGGTTCATCTTTATTTCCACTGTATAGAATACATATATGAATATTTATATATGTACAGAAAAAAGTTAAAATATAATGATTAAAAAAAATCTTTTGCCTTTTTTTTCCAAAAAGAAATTCACTTTTCTCTATCACGTACATGACTTCTCGGAAGAGATTCGAAGGCTTTTATCGATTATAAATAGTAACATGATTAAATAAAAGAAAATGAAAAAAAATAATAAGAAGATAAGACGACCTACATACATATAAACACAGATGGTAATGTAGTTAGTTACAGAATATTCTATCAGTATTAATAACTTCTGTTTTAAAGAAAAAGTAGATCATTATTTGAAAGAAGATAATCACGGTAAACGAGTAAAACGCGTTGTAAAGAAATGCCGGGATAAAGGTTGCCCTGTAGAAGGAAACATGAATATGTTCTAATTTATATAAATAGATTCTTATTACACCTAATCAAAAATAAGTTTATTATGAACAATGGGATTTATATTTAACTTTTCTTTTTGATAGTCAGTGAAATAATTTACATGAATACCTGCTAGACAAGTAAACATAGTCTTCCTACTACTTCATCATTAGGGAAAGAAGACTGGACGATTGAAGACCTTGATGAACATATAGTGCCTTCTCGTTTCTTCTGTATGTGGTTTCTATTCGTCAATCTTTTTTTCAATCCATTTTAACAGACATCTGTAATATGTAGATATATACTTTCAAATTAAGAAAGAGGTAGAGAGAGAGAGTAACAGAAAGTGTCCTGTTCTGTTGCTCGTTGTCGTCGTCTTTATTTTTAATAACATTTCACAAATGCAATTCTCACCTTATCCTCCCTTTTCCTATTCTCTTTCAGTTTTGTTAATATGTGACATTTTTTTGGCTCACTCACATGCATACACTAAAAAAAAAAAGAAACAAAAAAAAAAGAAAGAAAACAACATTTGATTATTGACCTTGCTTCAAAATTGACACATCTTTCTATTTTTCTATCAAAATTTAAATAAGATTGAGCAGGTATGTAAAATAGAAAAATCAACTGGAAGTTCTAAGCGTAATCAAATCGAATGAAAGAAAGAAGACATTATTTGAATGTTTTCTTTATAATATAGAAGAAAAGAAGAAAAAGGAATGCATATCTGTAATAAGACGACAACGTTCAATAGGAAAAACATTAAGGAAAAACAACTACGGAATTCATTTTCTTTTCTCCGAGTAAAGAAGAAAACGGGCGAGATCTAGAAAGAAAAAAAAAATCACATATGTGTCAGTTCGGAAAAAGAGTTTTTGTACTTTGTTCCTTAACGTCTTACGCTAGATTTTCCAAGTTAGCTCTTTAATTAACTAGTCCATATCATAAGGATCTCATAATATTGAGCTCATCAGTCATAAATAAAGAAAACTAGTGAAAATAAAACTATTATTCATGTTAGTCACCTTTAAAAAAAAATCTGGATTATTATGAACAACAGCAACAACTGCTAAATAAGTGTAGTTTGAATTTTTTTTGTTTTCAATAATTTAATTCGACTGATAAAAATAATCAATAAAAAAACATTTCTTTAAAATAATAATTTAACATGTTTTGTTCTCTTTTTTTTCAGCTAATTTCATCATTGTTGTTAGAACTTCTATTTAACACATAACTAACTCAATGTATGATTATCAATCTCAAACGAGTCTCCCACCGATTCGTGCACGTCAACAACGACCATCTGGAGTTCAAGTTCAACAATTATATGAAAGTAGTCCAGTTCTAGCTACAATTTCACATCATCAATCGAATACACAATATACATCACATAAACTACAGCATGGTGATTCGTCTACAATTGTTAACGGAAATGCAACAATAATTAATAATAATAATAATGGAACAACGAATGGTTATCATACTCATCATCTTCGTCAAAATAGTATATCACAACCGCCTGCTCTTCAACAGACATCTGAACAATCGTTACGTAAAAGTCCGAGTGTCGATAGTATACTTAGTGTACAGTCATCATCACAACAACGACGAACTAATGCACTTGATCCTGATACTGCTATGAAAACTTATATGTCGAAATTGACAGCCTATGAACGACATGAAATATTTTCTTATCCACAAATTTATTTTGTTGGACAAAATGCACGTAAACGACAAGGAGTAGGTGGTGGACCAAATAATGGTAAGAAAAATTAAAAAGAATAAGAATACTCTGTGTTATTAATTAGAATTGTTTGTTTATTTATTAATAAAATGCAACGTGACCTGTCAAAAATCTGCATTGATTTAATTATTAGATGCTTCGATTTTTCTGGTTAACTAAAGTAAAATTATTTTAATTCAAAATTGCAGTAATCATCGTGTCTGACACTAGAAAGGTTTTTTTCTATATATATTTAAAAGAAAAGAAAAGAAGAAATTTTTATCATATTTACTTTTGTTCGAGATTATATTTTTTTCAAAAGCACGTCAAAATAAAATATAAATTGATTTTAAAATTTGATTAATTTTTTTCAAATTTGAATACACTCTTGAGTATTTATAGTGTCAGAAACCTTATCATTTCATATTGACTTCTTTTTTAATTCATAAAATCATTAAGAAACAAACAAAAAGAACTAAGAATTGTTCTGCCATTAAATTTGGGAAGTCAGGTCAACTGAAAACATACACATAACTGTTGTTTTTCAAATGACTTTATCTTTGATTTAAAATCGATCAAAAGAACATCTTTAGATATATATATATATCATAATGATAACAAGTTATTTTTTTCGTACAAAGACGAATACTTTGTCTCTTAAATCTATTTATGAATTTCTTATCTATTTAAATTCAGAAATTAATTATAAAGATCTTGGTACTTTTAAATGTGTTGTTAGTAATAATTTCATAAGGACATTTAAAACAGACACTATAAACATAACAATTTATCATTTAATGTGCTCTTATTAAGCATATCATTCACAACTTTTGTTTTTGTTCCAACAAAAAAATGCTATGTACATTAGAGATTTGTAGGATAAATCTTTTTTCGTACTTTGTACTCTGATTGAGAAAAATTTTCTAACCTCTATCTTGCCCTATAGCATGATGACCCCTTACCATAGCCTTCGCTATAACATGCTGGCCCTTATTCTGCCCTGTACATCTCTAATTTATATGATTAAAAAAAATATTTCTAAAAAGAAATTAGGATTTAAGAGAGCATTAGATCTAATCGATCTCATTTGCCTTTTGAAAATATAGTATACAGTTTAGTATATATTTTTATCGATAGAGCATCCTCATTATAGATCTCTTTTTTTTCTAATTGAAGTTTGCGAGAAAATAAACATTTTATATTATCTTTTAGGTAATTATGATGATGAAAATGGTTCCTATGTTGCTATACAACATGATCATATTGCTTATCGTATGTTTAAAAGAAAACAAAAGAAATTAATTTTTTAAAAATAAAACAAATATATTTTTTTATATTTAGGTTATGAAGTGTTAAAAATTCTTGGCAAAGGTTCATTTGGTCTTGTTGTTAAATGTTATGATCATAAAAATGGTCAACAAGTTGCATTAAAAATAATTCGTAATGAAAAACGTTTTCATCGACAAGCTCAAGAAGAAATTCGTATATTAGAACACTTACGTAAACAAGATCGTGATAATACATTTAATATAATTCATCTATTTGAATGGTTTCAATTTCGTAATCATATTTGTATTACATTTGAATTACTTTCAATGAATTTATATGAGTAAGTTTTTAGATTTATTTTAATTAAAAAATTAATTATAATTTATTTTATTTTATTTTATTTATCTATTAAAAGATTAATTAAGAAAAACCGTTTTCAAGGTTTCAGTTTACAATTAGTACGAAAATTTGCACATAGTATATTACAGTGTCTTGATGCTCTATATCGAAATAAAATCATACATTGTGGTAAGAAAAGAAAAAAAGTTTTATTCGAATAAAATGAGTAATCATTTATGTACAATATATGTATTTAGATCTTAAACCAGAAAATATATTATTAAAACAGCAAGGTAGAAGTGGAATTAAAGGTATGAGTAAATAAATTTGTTCTTTTTTGTTGTTTTTCGATATAAAATCTTTTTGTTTTCTAGTAATTGATTTTGGTTCAAGTTGTTTTGAACATCAACGTGTTTATACTTATATACAATCGAGATTTTACAGAGCACCTGAAGTTATTCTTGGAGCTAAATATGGTTTGTTATTTATTGATTAATTGATAATGAATTATTATTATATATATATATAATTTAGGATTACCAATTGATATGTGGAGTCTTGGATGTATTTTAAGTGAATTATTAACTGGTATGCCTCTATTTCCTGGCGAAGACGAAGCTGATCAATTGAGTTGTATCATTGAAGTAATTGGAATGCCTAGTCAAAAAGTACTTGATGCTTCAAAACGAGCAAGAAATTTTGTTAGTTCGAAAGGACATCCAAGATATTGTACAGTAACAACATTACCTGATGGAACAACTGTTTTACAAGGCGGTAAATATAAAATATTTTTAAAAAATGATTTAAAAATATAAAAAATTCTTTGTGTTTTGTTTTTTATATTAAGGGCGTTCAAAACGTGGAAAACATCGTGGATCACCGGGTAGTAGAGATTGGTCACAAGCATTAAAAAATTGTGATGATCCATTATTCATTGATTTTCTTAAACGTTGTCTTGAATGGGATCCACAAATAAGATTAACACCAGCACAAGCCTTACGGTAAGTTATGATCAATATAATTACTCACGCCAAGGTTTTCACTCGAGGATTCTTCTTATATTTTGAGTACTAAATATGTTCAGGCATTTAAATAGCTAATCTATTAGCATATCTTTATAGTTTAGAATACTAACGAGGAAATCACTCCAACTGTAATCTATCATTTGAACTCTTATTAGACTCATAAGAAGCTTTTGGTAAGACTAGAAAAATCCTAAAAGAATTCGTGCCCATGAGTCTCTAAGTCAAGTTATGACTATTTTACTGAATTTTCGACCTGAAATTCAGCCTATACATAGATCTAATAATCTATAGAATATTCTGAAATGTGATATATGTGTAGCAAGCGACTATTTGTTGGGAATTCAATATCTCGGCAAAGAAAAATTCTTTTCGGTTGAAACTTTTCATATATTCTAAGAGTAATTAAACCTATCCGGAGACTAAATTTCAAGTCGAAAGTTTAGTAAAATGATCATAATGCAGCTGTAGAGGCCCATAAACGCAAATCCTACAAGGGTTTGGGTAGTCTTAGCGAAACTTTCTTCTGAACTCAAGATAAGCTCAAACGGTACGCTACGATTCGGGTAGTTTCCCCGTAAGTATACGAGTGGGTATCAAAGCTATTTGTGTAATTGTATGTATCTTCTTAATATTTTAAGAACTATGTTTGATTTTTTATACTCTTCCAATTGCTATTCTTTTACTTTCTCGAAAGAATTTCTTCACGACTATGTGTTTTTCGTTTTGAAAAATCAAAACATTATTATTATGGATCTTTTAGACATTCTTGGCTTCGTCGTCGTTTACCAAAACCTCCATCTGAAGCTCCACCACCAAATCGTCCATCAGCTGTACTTCGTCATCATCATTTACTTGCCGTCCAACAACAACAAAATACATCAAATGGTGATATAAGTGTAGCTGCAGGTAGAACAAATAGTGGTCTAGGTGGTAATACTGGTATTTATACAACTCATCATCATCATCAACCACAACAATTATATAATACAACTAATAATACAAACTCAAAAAATTTCTCTTCCACAAATGAGCTCAATCGACACCAAAAATTACCACATATTGGTGGTGTTCAACTTAATTCCATTATGGACTAACAGCAACCCAAATAATGTTCATCTGCTTTTCTTTCTTCTAGTGTGATGTGTGTGGTGTTATTTGATCCCTAATCTTTACTATTTTTCTTTGTTTGTTTGTTTTTTATTTGGCACGTTAAAGGTGTTTTTTTTTTCTTTTTCCCATTATAATTGTCAGATTTCGTTCTTGTTTCTTTTCTGCATCCGTCCATTGAGATATTTGAAAAAAGAAAAAGAAAAAATGTTTTCCTATTGAATATGACTTATTCTATTCACACTCCCGCGTGAGAGATCCTTTCAATAATAGTGAGTAGCCTGTCTGTGAATGAGAATGAAAAATATTTCTTGTTTTGTTTTATCTTGTTGCTGAAATTTATAAATATAAATATATATTTATATATATATTTATTTTTCTTTTCTTAAAATCACTTCTCATTCAATCTATTTTACTTTTTCATTGATATATGAAACATTTTTTTTTCTCACACTTTGTATAAAATTGTAATTCAAAACAAAAGAATTAATTTCTCTATTTTTGTTTTATTTCGAAATATTTAAATCGTTTCACCCACAACAAGAACACATCAAATCTGTGCTTTCATATTCAATAAAAAACACAAAAAGAAAAAATAATAATAAAACTAATTGTGTGATATCTTTCTGTTAGTGCATGTGTTCATTTTTTTTCACTTATTTACCATTTCTTTGTTTTTTGAAGAAACCAAAAAAAAAAGAAAAGGAAAAACTTCTTTCATGTATTTCATAGTTTGCTTGTTTGTTTTGTTTTTGGTAAAACAGAAACAGTTTTATAATTACAATCGTATAGCCAAAGAACCGAATGATAATGTTAATTACTATTCTAAGTTGTAGATTGTTATTAAATATTAAAAAACAAAACAACCAAAAACAAAGATGCAATCATCAGCTCTATATACTATGGCAAGAGAACCATCACGTCCTGAAACTTCACTTGCTATTAGTGCACGTCGAACGGAAGCACGCGATGCTAAGCAAGCCACACAACTGGTACAAACATACACAACAAATGTATTCGGTCGTGTCAATCGTGAAGAAAATATTTCTTATATTTTGTAAGAAAAAAAAATTTTTTTTTGTATTATAGAGGAAAGAATTTATTGATTTCTTTTTCGTTTTTTACAAAAAAAGGGAACATTCAATATTTTCTTTAACATTGGATAATAATCAAGATCCATTTTATGCATTAGCTGCTTTTTATGATTATCCAAATGTTCATGGTGTTTCATCAAATGATTGGGAAGAAAAATGGTGGAAAAATTTTTATGGAAAAAATGATGAAACATCAAAAATAAATGCCATTAATACACTTTTTTTACATTTTTTTGTTGCACATCCAGATTTTTCTGAAGGATGTGCAGAAGAATTAATAAATGTTACATTTAAAGCATTACCGGAAATAAATCAAATTCTTCTTTGTGTACCTCCACAAGTTACACCAGGTTTATTTTATTGAATATTTAAAATATATAAATTTTCAATATATGACTTTGTTTAGAAATTGCTTTAGAAAAATATTTTCAACCGATCGAATGTGATCGCAATGATAATAATTGTTCTGTCATGATATGCCATCGTAAAGATCATTTTCCAACATTATTTATTCGAACAGCTCGGTAAAACGAAAACTTTTAATGGAAAATTATAAAATAAAATTTTTTTTTTCTAGTGTACAAGATAATGATGATCTTGCTCCATTATTTAATCAATACAATGATATTCTTAAACAAACTTATGGTGCTTTTTTTGTTGCTGAACTTATCGAATCACAAGATGATAATAATAAAGCATTAGTTGCAGAAGTAATTATAAATTATATATAAATCTATTAAATCATTTATATAAAAAACAAATTTTTAGTGTAATGGTTATGCTATTGGTTTTATGAGTATTTCAAACGAAGTCAATATCGATGTACTCAATGAAGTTTATTCCTTATCGGCTTTTCATGGTTTACGTACGAAACATCCAGATGATCAATGGAATCAACAAATGACTGAAGAAACTGAAAATTATTTACCTAATTCTGATGCATATATAAATAGTGATGCAACAACACATGACGATGGAAATAGTCATATAAAAGCTAATCCTGTACTTGAAGCTATGCAACGAGCTGTCGGAAATGGAGGTTTTATTGAATCATCTACTAATGTTACAGCAACAGTTGGTGCAGATAAAAATAACAAACAATCAAAAGTAAATCAAGGACAACTTGATCATGATAGTTTAACAGCATCGGATTATCTAACAACACCACCAAATAAATCAATTGAAGATCTTAATAATTTACAGGGGTGTGTGAAAATTAAATATTTGAATTAATTTTTGAGATTGACAAAGAAAGAAAAAAAAATAGAATAATGTTACTTTTGTTTTTTCTTTTGAATAGAGATGAAAATATTAACAATGATGCTGTGTTGGAAATAACTGATACATCTTCACATCGAGCTAAAATAACTAAAGCACAGGTAAAATATTGTTCAAATCAATAGCTATACTAATGTCCGCACCAAAATTAAAGACGAATGAGTGTAACTCGACAATGGTAATAGCTAGTGACCGAAAGAGGAGAACTCGGAACATTCTTTTTTATCTTATACTACATAAGATAAAATTATTTTACAACCTATTGTCTTTAGAAAACATTTTTAATAATGCATGAAAACGATGTTCTGTTTCGATGTAATCTTCATTCTTTATATATGGTCCAGACAAATGGATTTCATATCTATAGTTCAAGGCACGATTCAAATGACTATCTTCTCACAGCTCAATGTTGAGCAAACAAATTCATGTAAATAATGTATTCAGTCAAAATATATAGATTTTTATTGATTTTGAGCAAATCTTCTAACTTTTTATCAGAAAGTCCTTCAAAAAAAAAAAAGTTTTTTCTTGAATGATTTGCACAGATGATGAGTTTGAAACTGATTTCGTCTCATATAGTTTAGACAAAAAGACGTCTAAAGTTCTTCTCTTTCGATTGCTGAAAGTTGCAGGTCACTGTGTGTTACTGCTGTCCAGTTACTGAGCTTACACTAATCTCTCTTCGATTCTAGCGCATGTATTAGTTTTATTTCTATCTCATGAGAGAAAGTTTTCAACTGATTAATCAGTTTCGAATTTCAACCCTGCATACAAAGTAGGCTTCAACGAGATTTCAAAAATCTCTAAAGGGTCGGTCTCCTTAGACCTTCTCTTCAGAGTTATAGGCATGTCACTGGAGTTTTAACCTATGGCTTGGTATACACCAACAAATCGAATGATAGTATTTCGATGTAAAGTTTTGTCTACAGACAGATCTATGTATCAATAGAATGTCCTGAAAATTTCAACTCAAAACAATATTTTCTTCGCAAGATATTCAAATCCCAAAAAAAGACTCATATTCCATAAAAAAAAATACTAGTTAGAATTTTCTGTTTTTTAAAACTTGTATTTTTCGAGAAGGAAACATTGTTTTAAGCTGAAATTTTTAGAGCATTCTACAGACAAATAGATCTATTTGTGAGCAAAATCTCAGATCAAAAGATCGCCATTAGATTTGTTGATATATACTAAGCCAAAAGCTAAAAAATCCAGTACAATGTCTATAACTCTGAATCGAAGGTCTAACAGGGTTTATTTCTTTGAGATTTTTCATATCTTACTAGAGTGTACCTTATGCACAGAGTTCAAATTGAAAAGTGATTGATCAGTTAAAAAGGTCCCCCCCCTATCAGAATTTATAAAACGATTTTCGTTGAACATAGCCATACAGACTGTTGACGTCTATATTTATTATGTTTGCTTTGTAAATATGATAATCATGCCATTCATAGTATAATCGAAGCAAGAAAAATTATTCAAAATTATTAAACTTATTATATAAGTGATTTTTTGTTTTAAGAAGTTTATAAATCATTTCAACTATATAATTATAGAAAAAAAGAATTTATAATATTTAACCTTATTTCATTTGTTTTTTATGAACTTATAGTTAGCAGCGGAAGATCCATCGAGATATATCAAACCAAAACTAATTAGTCAAACACCGAAATTTTTTGGAAAAGAAAAAGCTTTTGCTATTCAATTATTTTGTATTAGTGAAGTTTATGAAAAACGGTAATTATCTATACGAAATATTTTTTGGAAATAAAAATTTTCTATCATATTTATACTTTAGTTCTTACGATTTTCTACAAAAAGCTTTTGACATGTTTCCTGATCGTGATTATTGTGTAATAACAATACCACAAATGGTACCAGAATTTCCACTTTTACAATCATTTATTGTATGTTTTGTTTTTTTCTATTGATAAGTTTTCTATTTTTGTTTTCTTATGTAATTGATTAATAGCGTATTCCACCACGTGTTAATTTACCAAATATTCAAGAATTATATTTATTTCATCGTGCTGGTTTATTGCGTGATATCTCTGTTGAACGTGCTTCGGAGACACATCTTGAGCCAGTTAAACGACTTACAGAACATTTTTCTTCACGTGACAAAATTTTAAATGATTTTTTGGATGCTGTACGAAGTCGAAAACGAAGTGTAAGTACATTTAAAAAAATATTTTCATTTTGTTTTACAACTTGTAATTAAATTCTTAGAAAATCCTACATAAATCAGATTAATTTTCGAGTTTAATAAGTATATAGAATATTGTTCTTTGATATGGTCTTATATTTGCTTTTATTGTGGTGAATAGCATTGATATATCTGTACAATAGTTTGAGACTAAATTACGTATTATCAGATTATGAACTATTGTTCGTTAGAGTGAACTAATTTGCAAAAAAAATGTATTAAATAATTATATATTTCAGGACACAGGTGTTTTCTTTGATGCTTACATCATCAACGTTGCTAATCGACCAAGTGCTTTGATTATCTTTAGTAACGAAGAAGTTAGTTTTTTCTTTGTTATTTGATATTCATAGGTAATTTATTTTATTTTAGAATATTGATTATCTTCGTTCACAATATAATATCGAAG